AGCTTAAGGAGATGACCTATCTGCTCCCAAGTGACACCTTAACAGAGACCGTGTGTGAATGGATCAGCCTTCAAATAATGCTGTTCAAGCCTCGTTTTATCTCAAGATGAGTTTTGATTTGTTTTTTTTCCCAAATATAATTGCGTCAGCGCGCTTTTTATGGATTCTGAACTATTTTCCTGCTCTCTTTCATTGCTTTAAGGATGTTTGCCAGCAGAAGGAAGCAGCATTACTGGGCTTACTCAATGGACTGCAGCGGGAACGAGGCTCACATCTCCAGCTGCAAACTGGGCAACCACCTCAACGTGGATGCCGAGAAGAACGCGACGTGCGAGAACGGGATGCCCGCCGTCGTCAGCTGCGTCCCGGGACGCGCCTTTGCCCCCAGCAGCCACAGTGGCTTCCGAAAAGCCTTCAGGCAGGAGGTAAGCAGGGAAAGAATGCAACTCCTCAAGTAGGAAAAGCCTTGGGGGTGTATTCACCGTCAATTATCAGCTGTAGAGGCTGAACACGTGTATACCCACAGCCAAAACCAGCCCGATGTGCAAATATGCCCTCTTGGTACTCCTTTCTCCCTACAAGCCCAGCTGAGTTTCCATCCTCACAAGTACGTGGTACCTCGCCTGTGTTTACAGGGTGGGAGTTGGGCTCGCTGCTGGCAAGGCTGCGAGCGAGTAGTAAGAAAATATATTTGTCACGTTTTCTGTTTGAGCCGTTCTGTTCGAGCCAGTTGAACACGCGCCCAGCTGCTGCCGGGCTTTGCCGTTCCACGGCCACTTAAACACCGCCGGGTTGTCTCTCCCGTCAAGGTACAAGGGAAATACGCTGGTATTTCCTCTATCCTTGCGGAGAAATGCCCTGCGAGACTGGGAAAACATGGCCTGCAGGAAAGGTTGGGAAAGCTGTGTTTGTTTAGTCTAGCTGAGTGTAGAGTGAAAACCCCGAGATATGTAAAAGGCTGTTATAAAACGACCTTGGAGGTGGTTGCTCTCTGAGAATTTGGGGCGACTGAATGCGAAAGAGCAGCTTTCCTAGCAGCAAATGCGGTTCAGGTGGATGCTAAGGGATATTCTTCAGCTGTAAGGTATGTGCAGCCTTAGGATGTAGGGCTGATCTTGGAGCCTGGGGTCCCTAATTCTGGGCCAGAGAGGTTTTTTTCAGGGTGCATTAGGTGCTGTAGCCCTTGCCTGTAGCCTGCATCCTCCAGCCCTGTACCTCTGTGGCTTTAGGAGCTTCTCGTGGCACCTGAGAAGATCCCAGAAGACACTTTTTGGGGCAAAATAATGCAATCCTGTCCGTGGTTTGCTTGCCTGGAGTCTGGGCACTTCTCTGCACGAGAGCTTTTTCAGGATCTAGGCTTAGAAGGTGAAAGGTCTTGTAAATCATTACTAATCTTCTGAGCCCTGCGCGCTGCCAAGTAATTCCTTAAGCCTTTGTGTAGGCTTTGGGTGTCCTTCGCGTGACCCCAGCCCAGAGAAATGTATATGCTTCCAGTTTTAACAGTTAAGGTATTTTTTATTCTGCACAAATCACATGCCCGAGGCTCTGCTCGGCGCTGGGAAAAGCTGTGAGCGATACGCAGCTGGTGGCTAATAGAAATATAAAAAGAATATAAATTAACGGGACTGGACCTGCCTCTCAGCGGCGTATTTCCCACTGTGATCTGCCAGGTCACTTACTCCATTAGTTGTAACTGCAGCAGACGTGGTTTGAGTTCCAGGTTGGTCTTAATTAACCCAGGACTCTGCCTGGAGCTCTGTAGAGCAAGTGGCTCGTTCTAGTAACAGAACCACAAGCAGCAAGTGGATGAGAGCCATGCATGAGCTGGCTCGCTGCAATTCCCAAACTTCCTATAAGGCTCCCAAGAGATAGGGGGTTGTTGCACGCCCTGTGTGCAGCAGCACTCTTCTGCTGCAGAGCTACTCGTGTGGAAAAGGCTCCTAAATCCGAGCACTAAAACTGCAGAGAGCTAAGATGCCTCTCTGTACTCTCTGCCCATGTATAGGGATGTGAAAAACATTTGTCTACGCATACCCTACGTCCTAGCAGGTAAAGATCTCCTTTCATCCAGCACTTTTAGGCTTTTGTATCATGTGGTCGTTGTTTTAAGGTGCGTCAGGGTAATGCTTTTTGGGCCACGACTTACCTGGAGCCACATGCCACGGTAAAGAAAGGATGCTCTGTTCCCGTCTGTGTCTTCCAGCAACCCCTGGTGAGGCTCAAAGGGGGAGCCAACACGGGCGAAGGACGAGTCGAAGTGCTGAAAAAAGGCGAGTGGGGGACGGTTTGCGACGACAACTGGAACCTGGTGTCAGCCAGCGTGGTGTGCCGAGAGCTGGGCTTCGGGAGCGCCAAGGAAGCAATAACGGGCGCGAGACTCGGGCAAGGTGAGAGCTCTGGGGACCGTCTGTGCCTTGCCCACCTCCTTTCATGATTCAGGGCAGAGGGTATTTTTACTGGGCTGTTTGTTTTGGGGACCAGGAATTTATTCTCTGCCCTTAATAAGTCTCTTGGGTCCTGGAGCTTGAGGCCAGACTGGAATATGTGACTTAGATATTCAGGATTCCGTGAAAGAAGTCTAGTGATAACAAGTTTAACCTTCCCTTCAGACAGCTCTTCAGTAATTAATTTTTTGTTATCACATCTGTTGCCCTCAGATTCTCTTTGCGAGTCCTCTAGATCCACATCACGCTGTGTGATGCATTACTAGAAGGCTCCTGGCAAAAATGGATCCTCGATCTAGACTTCAAACACCTTCCAGTTTAAGACCAGGACATTAATTTAGCCTGTTATAAATAGAAGGGCATTTGAACAGTTCAGAGCCAGGGTTGGGTTTGGATTTCCTGTATTTGGGAGCTGGTTTAAATCCCAAGCTGTGGGAAATGGTAACTCAAAGCCCAACATACGCCCTCTCAAGCCGCCTTCTGATTCACCCTCCTTGCTCCTGTAGCATGAACCCTGAAGATGATGACGCTAAATCAAACCCTTTCTTGTGAGATTAAATAAACGGGTGACATTTCTTCAGCCCAGCTTCTTGGAGAAGCGCGGGTAAAGCACAGGGGTGGTGCCTGGAATCTGGAAAGCTTTTAAACTGTGACCTGTCCGTTGGATTTGCCAAAAAAAAAAAAAAAAAAAGAAAAAATTCTTCCGGTAGGATGTGGGCAGCTCCTGGTGTGTTGAGCTGCAGATAAGAAAGAGCAGAATCATCGTGGAGAGGGAAGTAGGTGCCACGTGAGGGAGGAGAACGTGCCGTTCCCGCAGCCTGGAAACTCTGAGCAGAGGCTGCTGATCCCCACACACTTTCCTTTCTTCGAACGCAGACGCCGGCAATCCATCAGTTTGCCCTGTCAAAACCATCCTCCGGGATAACACAGCGCTCGGTAACTCCCCTCGGCAGCCGGATCGTCACGTCGTGGTAGGAAAAGGAGCTTTTTCTTGGCCCAAACTCCTGTTGCGCAGGGGGATCTCACTGCTGTGAGGCTCCTCGTCCGCGGACGTGTTTGCGCTTCGCGTTGTTAAGGCCGCATCTCAGCGGAGTCGTGTGTTCAGAGACAAAAAGTTGGGCAAAACACAAAAAGATGGGCTCCACATTAAATCAGCCTGCAGGGTCTAGAAGTCCCAGTTAAGACAAGGTGACCTGGGGGAGACGAGTGCCTGCTCCAAAGAGTTCAGGGTGTGGGCAGGATGATTTATTCCTCCTTTTATAAATTGGAAACTGGGAGCCAGATTAAACAATTTACCCGTATTCACACAAGAGTCTGTTGAAAGGGAGATGCTGAGCCCGGATCTCCTGGATGTGTTGCCCATCGCAATATTCTTGGAGGAAGAAAATAAAAACCCCTGACCCTTCAAGCAGAACGTGAACGTATATGTTGGATATACAGTCCTAATCCTGTCCTTCCGCTGAAGAGCATGGCATGGGAGGAAATGTAATTTTATCACCATATTTCAGCACGTACAGCAATGCAGTTTGGTTGCATTTTGGTGCCCGGGACCGCAGCATCTCCTGTCTCCGTGTGAAATGAAAGAATTTCCCCCAGAAGAGCAGATGTGCCGGGGTTTACGTGCACCAGCGCCATGGCCCTGCCTTCTTGCTTTGTCATTTCTTTGGTATGACTTTGTGGGGCTATTTTGGTGGAGAATGTCGGACCGGATCCATCCTGCATTCTTGGTGCATCACCCTCCAGTTCTGGTCAGCATCGAGGCATTCCTCCAACTCGAACTGTTGGGCGGTTTGCAGAATGACTACGTCGGGGGCACCGTTTCCAGACCTAGACCACAAACGGGATTTTAATGAGAAAGAAGAAGAAAAAAAAAAAAACCAACTAGATACACATTCCCCAGCAGCCTCAGCCTAGGAGTCTGCTCCCACGTTGTCTAGATCTTGTGTGATGGGTGGATACGGGGACGCCTGAAGTGCTGAGGTGCAAAACGTGGCCAGAGCCAAACTAATTCTGCAGATGAGCTTGAACCCGACACATTTACATCTCTGCCTTTCTTGTTCTCGCTGCTGGTGTCAGAAGGCGGCTCCAGGGTACCTCCTGACTCATTCCACCACACAATCGTGGAAATATTCTAGAGAGCATCTAATTTTATTTTTTTTCCCTGTTTACCCTGTGCCTCAGCAGAAGTCTGAGGAGGTGAAGGGTTCACCAGACAGATCATTAAACTGTCACCCATGGTTAGGTCTCTGCGTCACAGGTGTCCTGGCTGCCACACAGGGTTATGAAGGCTCCAGATGGCAGCAGGAGGAGGCTTTGAAGCAAAAGGATCCCACCTACCGTTAATAAACCTTCTCCTGCTTCCCAGAGTCAGCCCTTTGCTTTGAACCAAAAGGAGCAAGCTTGAAGTTGGGTAAAATTTTCCTTTCCAGCGGGTTCTTCGTACCCAGGAGGCTGCTGGTGGGAGCCCAGCTGGCAGTTGTGCCATTGCCTTTGGGCAAGTTGTGTCATCTCTGGGTGCAGACGAAGAAACAGAGCCAGCAGCCAGGATGTCATTTCCAGGGAGTGTGTCTTCTGCTGGTTCTGAATCCTTTGGGCCGGGCACAGCTCTCTGGCTCCTTGCGCCGCAATGAGAACAGCATTGCAGGAGTGAAGAACCAACACAGAAATGACCAAACGCCTGTTGCTGGGCTTGGTCAACCTCTTCCAGCTGGTGGAGGGTATCGGTAGGTGGATGCTGCTTTCTCAGAAACTTCTCCTGTGGCCTTTGCCGCCGTCATCGTGCTGCTCCTGGGCGTTGAGCAGAGATGGGTTCACCCACAGCTCGGGCAGAAGTTCCTGGCCAAGGGCTGCAGTGAAGAAAGCTGACGGCGGGTCAGAGCGCAGCGTCTGCCAGCATTTTCGTTACGCCAAGTCTGGAGAAAGCACGTTGATCACGAACTTCAGAAGTGTTTTTATCCTCATCTGCCTGTCTCTGAGGACCAGAGGTTCTCCATCTGCTGCTTGCAAAGATCTCCTGTTGAAACTATCCGGTGTGGTGTCATCAGCAGTTACTCACAGGTTACACGGGCTCCAAGAAAGACTCCATTTGTTCTTCTGTGATGAAAATCATCTGTTGGAACCTCCGATCCATTCCCTGTAAATTTCTTTCTAACCAGCTTTGGGCTCAGTTTGGACCCAGGACCTGAGAGCTCTCCAGGCAGGGTTATTGCCCCGTGTGTCTCCTCTTGCTGAGAATGACAATTGTTTGCCCCACCTTGCCCAGGGAGGAACCAAATTACTCAGTTGGGCTCCCAGTGCCTTGAGACCATTCTCTGCAGTGTGAAATGATGTTCACTCTGTTGTTTCCGTCAGTATTGTTGGAGGCTGCAACACACACCTGCCCAAAGCGTTTCACCGGCTTCTCCCACATCCTTGTAGTGTTTTGTTGTCCCAGCAAATCTGTCTGTGGCCCATTTAAATGTCAGGGCCTGATCGGGAGCAGATTCCAGCACACAGACCCAGCCAAAAAGGTCATAATTTGCGAATTCCTCCAGCTGAAGTTTGTAAATTATGTAACGCTGGAAACTTGGCTTTTTCTGCAGTTTTTGCATGCTCAAGTCCTGGAGACTACTGGAAAGAATTTAACGGTGAAATTATTAATAATAATCTTGCAGTTTTTTGTTTTATTTTTACAAGAAATCACTGGAATTTCTTCGGGATTGCTGTGTTTTGAATGTTGGAGGCTAGCGTGCTGTCTGCAGCGCATTAATAAGCTGTTACTGGACGTTTCTCCAGTGCACAGTAGCACGGACAGAAGGTAAAGGCTTTCTTCTTTTTTCTTTTTCCCCAAGGCATGGGTCCAATTCATCTAAACGAAATCGACTGCACGGGCTTTGAAAAGTCAGTCACGGACTGCAAGTTCAACACGGAGTCGCAGGGCTGTAACCACGAAGAAGATGCTGCCGTGAGGTGCAACGTTCCGGCGATGGGTTTCCAGAATCAGGTGAGAAGCCGAGGGGGCACAGCGAGGCGTCTTCATCCCGGAGCATCGTCTGCCCTCCCTTGCTTTGCACGTCTGGGTAGGAGTCACTTCACCTGAACTCTGCCTGTTCAGTTGAGAATTGAACATTGTATTAGACAGGAGGGTAAATAAAGACAGTTCTTCTCTTTTTGTACTAAGCTTGGAGCTCCTCCAAGCCTTATAAAGGGGTGAAGGGCCACTTCAGCTGCAACCTGTGCGGTCCAGTGGCCCGTAAAGCTGGTGGGTGTCCCCGGTGTGGTGGGATCTTGGTTGGGTCTCGTGACGGTGGGACCCGGGTGGCTGCTAGCATAGGTGCTGCTGTCAGCTTTGCCACATGGGCTTAAAAACTGACTGCAGGAAGCAGATGTGGGTTCTTCTGAGAAGAACCAAACAGCTGGTCGGTTGGATATCGAGTCCAAGCTTAATGACTTTAACCAGCCTTGAGAAGCCCTCAAGCGTTGCTTGCCCAACTGTTGCATCTTCCCACCTTTGACGTTCATTGACAGATGAGTTTTTATCCCCTGCAGCTACGCCTGAGCGGCGGCCGCAACCCTTACGAGGGCCGGGTGGAGGTGCTGGCCGAGCGTAACGGCACCCTGAAGTGGGGCACGGTCTGCAGCGAGAACTGGAGCACCGTGGAGGCCATGGTGGTGTGTCGGCAGCTGGGCCTGGGCTTCGCCAGCCATGCCTTCCAGGTGAGTCCCCATGCCCGCAATTGGGACGTAGTGGCATGTGTGGCATTGGGCAGGGGCTGCTGGAGGAGGAGGAAGGATTATTTAAAAGAAAAACAAGCCACAAACCGCAGCGTTCGGCTTCAAGGCGTTAGACCCTGAAGGTTAAACCTCATTGCACCATAGATTTAGGGGAAATTCAAGGCAGGAGCAGTTGCAGCTCTGGGCAAATCTGCTGTTTTCGTGCTGCTCAGGGCTCAGATTCCTCAGGAAGCCTGACTCCCCGAGCCCTGGTTGGGCTGGTGGTTACGTGCGG